AACAAGTGCCACGCTAGTAGTAACAGGTGCCTTACTAGTAGTAACAAGAAGCTAGTAGAAACAAGTGCCACGCTAGTAGTAACAGGTGCCTTACTAGTATCAACAAGAAGCTAGTAGAAACAAGTGCCACGCTAGTAGTAACAGGTGCCTTACTAGTAGTAACAAGAAGCTACTAGTCTCTGTCGGTGACATACCCGACCACCTCAACACCGTCATTTCTTGTGAACGTCGAGAGCGCCAAGTGGCGTCGCCAGCATCGCCCACACGGGGAAGGGGAACGTCTCCGCCTCTTTCTTGGCCTCCCAATCGATCCCTTACAACCAAACTGAGGTCAAAGACATGGGCTTAGCAACGGAAGTAGGCAGCTTGGCTACGCATTGGCTTGGATGGAAGCATTTGAGAAAAAAAAACATATCCAGCTTGGCAGACTCGCTGCGTAGTGCTCTGCGAATTCGTAAGCTACCAAAGCCGGATCCCACAAGCACTCAGTAGTATAGTACCTAAATTCATTGAAAGGAATTTGAAGGTCCTCCTCAGTCTTGCAGGCAACAACATGGACTCCCTTCACGGCATGAAAAGTCTATAGGGGGGTGTGTCCGACAACTCAGAACTGTTTCTTCTTGAAAAATTGATGGTGCCTTGAATACTGAGCCCTGCGAGCCCTGCAACCTCACTGCGCCTTGCCCAGTTTCAGCTCCTCCCATTTTTCTTTGGCAGCCTTCAGTTCCTTAGCGGGCTGCAATCAACAAGTGCTAGCAAGTGCTAGTGCGCTTCAGATCCTTACAAACTTAGACGTGAAATGCACTGCGCATGTCTTGGAAAACCATAAAATAGCACATCTGTTGCTATCTTTACGGCACTGGCACCACTACCTCCTGTACTGTCCAATGGTTCTCTGACGCTGATCCCTTGTATGCAGCCAGAAATCAGTGTTTAAAGATGCCAAGTCGACCATGGCAGGAGGCGCAGGCTCAAAACGTCAAAGCCTGCTAAGATTCCTTTGGCTTCGATCGACTACGTAAAACGAGTGCTGTTCACAACTTACGGTAGCTCATCTTGGGACACAGAAATAACTAAAAATGAAAAACTGGAGAGACTAAGAATGAAAAACTGGAGAGCACCAAATGGTGTGTTTGCGAGGCTTGAACTCAGGCTGAGAACTTCAAGCCGCTTCTCCCGTGCACCTCTGAAGACGTGCTTGAGCAAATCAGTACCAAACATGCCAAGCACACATGATACTGAAGCGAATGGTTAGAGGAATCCGGGGGCGTGCTCTCTTCGACGCTTCGACCGACTCTCAATCCTTAAGAAGATCCAAGGTGGCTGCTTCGTTGGATTTCTGGGATAAATATGACAACTCTAAGTGGGCCATAGTGGGCCGTTTTTGGTGAGCAGAACTGACGATGGGGGATGAACCTAACGTTGGGCTAAGGTGCTTACTGCACGCTCATCAGATACCACAAAGGGTGTTGGTTCATTTTGACAGCAGGACGGTGGTCATGGAAGTCGAAATCCGCTAAGGAGTGCGCAACAACTTACCTGCTGAATGGACTAGCCCGAAAATAAATAGCACTCAAGCGGGCGACCGATGCCCACCCACTGACATGAATAAGCTTCAGTGTAGAGGAGGGCGTAGGGGTTGTAATGCAGCTTTTGGTGAGCCTGAGCGAATCAGCCTCTGGCGCAGATCTTGGTGACGGTAGCAATATTCAGAAGAGAACTTTGAAGGCTGAAGTGGGAACAGCAATTGGACATGGGTTTGTCGATCCTAAGAGAGAGGGATGTTCCGCGTACGCAAGCCTCGCTTCGTTCCTCGAAAGGGAATGGGGGTTAACTTCCCCCAACCAGGAAGTGGATAGTGTAAGGTAACGCAAGAGAATTCTGCGACGCAGGGGGGAGCCCTGGGAAGCGTTCCGGAATAAGATTATCTGGAGATATGAGATAGGGTTACTGTACATTGCGGGCAAAGCACCGTGTCTTCCGAGGTGTCCGGTGCGTTCTCAACTGCCCTTGAAAAGCCGAACTTTTTGAGTGTTCCTGTGCACACTTGGTGCAGAGCCGCTGTGGCTATGAGTTAAAAGCTCGCGTAGGCGGGAAGCAATAATCTGGACTGTAGTTGTGTGGCGCACAAGAAGTACTGGTACTCACAAACAGCTGTAGACCTGCAACACCGAGTGACCACACTGTAAGGGATAGACTCTGCCATCGGACAATGGCCGTGGACACGCCAGCTCAAGGCGCCAAAGCAAATGGGGATGCCTCGATTGCGTCTGCGGCCGACCAAGGACTGTTTGTCGCGCAAAAGAAGAAAGTGAATGTCCAATGTCCAGTCGAATTCTGTCCAAGTTTACATTTTGAGACGTTTTGTGGCTTTACGAAGCTCGGCCAGGCCGTGGAACCATGGGGAACCTGCTGGCCATGTCCGACCGCAGGACTGCACACTTCAACCCAGTGTGGCAAAACCCTTTACTGCGGACGTGGTAAAGCATCATATTCATACTTTTAAAACCTGCTCCTGAGCATTAAGCTAAGCAACATTTCTGTGAGCACTTCTGGCCCGACTAGGCAAAAGATCCAAACTCTTCACCTTGAAGGTTCAGAGCAACAAAAACGCCTTCACTGGCTCTCTTTGGAGCGAGAAGTCCTCCATGAAGAACTCTACACCAGGACAATCGTGAAATTCCAAAGCGCGCTGCCCAAGATCCCAACCTGCAAGAAATCTTAAAATGGCAAATACTTCTGCGCTGCAGGTGTCCCTGTGTGCTTTCCATGTTTGGAGGCGCTTCGTGAAAAGGTTAAAGGCCAATTACCTTTGACTGGTGATTGCTAAAGCAATCTTCGGCCCAGTGGGGCAAAGATTGAATTCAACAATACACCCCCCACCCATGCATGTCTCTGGTTTCCTTTCCGTCACAGATCTGCCTATGCCGCTGGAAGGATCAGAAATGGCGGCCACAAATGCTTGCAGCTCAGATTGCACGCTGGGAGTGTCCAACGAAATATATTCCAACTTCCGATGCTGGAGCTGCTGCTCCTGCACTGTGAGAAGGCTTTGGCCACACGGCCAGGGTTTGAAGGCCACAACCGAACGGGTGCGAACTAGGGGAAGGTTTGGAAGGCAATCCAGTCTAGACCAACGAAAACCAATGTCATCAGGCAAAGCTGAAGCAAGGCGTGTCCTGGTAGGTTGCCACGACCTGTGCAACAAATTCACTGCAGAAGCTTTCATGTCACGCGTATCGTCCCGATTTGGAACCATTTGCAACAAAAACATCAATCCAACCTTCTTCACAAAGCCTGCATGCTTCTCTTACCAACTTACCAAATCTCTCATCACCGCTGCTCAACAAAGGCAAATCCGTGAAGACCTCAAACTTTCCGCACCTTGAGGATATTGATCTGGATGACCAAAGGTTGTAAGGCGTGGACTACTGCGGCCACGGCGTGGCCGTAGAGCTGTTGCGCCAACGCGGCGCGGTTGGTACAATCAGCGCCAGCATGGGGCTTGTGGCGTTTGCTTCGAAAATCGAGCGCAGCGAAGCGCTGAAAGAGGCTTTCGTCCTCGCGGAACTCCGCGAGCGATGGAAGGACATCTCTGTGGCAGGGTTCGGTGCACATGTTCCGACCATTGTAAGTCTATTCCAAATCCAAAAGTCCTACCAGTAGTTTTATCGGTTTTCTGGCATCTACTAAAATGAACCAAACCTGCACCACGCACCAACAAATGTCTGGCCATGTTCTTGGGCGTCCCAAAGCTCCCTGAAACAAAATTATATCGCAAAACTGCCTAACAAGGCTGTCCCGGTCGCACTCCTTCGCGGCCACCTCCAAGCGTTCGGATGCGGCGAGCGTGGCCGACCAGGCTTCCAACAAGGCCTCGCTGGTCCGTTCCTCTGCGCGCATGGCACGTTGCCACACCTCGCGCAAAGCGGCAGCGTCGGCGCCTAGCGATGGGAAGCGGGAAGACGGATCGGCATGGTGCAGGTTTAGATCATTTGGCCTGCAAACTGCAAACAACCAGCGCAGGATAAAGATACAATGAATCAAATCGAAAAAAGATTCCGGGCCACCCTATGTGGATCACCTGGCTTTGCAAGATTTGATCGGCTGTCTATCACATTGTGTCAATCCCAGCAATGACATGCAATGACCAGAGTCTGCGTTTGTGCGATTTCACTCGAAAAGCTCAACCATGTTGCAAACTGCAACAGTGCAACAGCACCGGACAACAACAGGAACAGTGAGGTGAAGTCTGCGTGACGAGATAATGAAGAATTGCACGATCACATTCAGAAGAGCGTGGCAACGCCCGCGAAATCAAAAATCCAATATTGAATGTAAGCCTGAGAAGACACTCTCCCCATGGATTTGTGTTGTTTTGGTATGCGTTGCTCACACATTTGCTGGAAAACTGTGTTTCCACTGTTTTCCAGGGGAATCAGTGGCAAAGGCATGTTGAGGTGACTTTCCCTGCTCTCCCCAAACTGAATGACTAGGATTATGATGTACCTTACAGCCTAACTCTGAAATCTCAAGGATTCATAAAAAAAACAAAAAAAAACAAAACCACACTCACAAAGGATGACCAGGAAATGCAAAAGAAATGCATAAAAAAAGCAAAAAAAGGCAGCTGGTCAAAAAGAGTGCATATCAAAAAGCAAAAACATGCAAAAGGAAGCCAGAAAAAAAACAAAAAAGAAGCAGAACAGCAGTTCAAAAAAAACAAAAACAATGCAAAAAAAACACATGCACAACCAAATTTCACACACCACCTTTGTTGTGCGATCTTTTTGCAATTTTTTTGCATTGTTTGTGCGATTTTTTTTGCATTTTTTGTGCGTTTTTTGTGTTTTTTTGCGATTGTTTTGCGTTTTCTCAAGGAAACGCACAAAAAATGCCAAAAAACAAACAAAAAAAACAAATACAAAGCAAAAAAATGCAAAGGCAAAGACCAGAACGTTTTTGATCGCATTCGTTTTGTTTTTTGATTGCATTTTTTGCATTTTTTGTGCATTGTTTTTGCATTTTTTGTGCCTTTTGTGTGCATGCTTTTTTGCATTTTTTGTGCCTTTTTTGCATTGGTTTAGTGGACAAATGTTTTTTTTGCATTTTTTGCGTTTTTTTGCATTCCAAGGCATCCTTTGGTGACTTGTTTTTGCGTTTTCTGTGCATTTTTTTCGGGATCGGTTTTGCATTATGTTTGCATTGTTTATGCATTTTTTGTGTTTTGCTGTGTCATCAGAACTAGCTTTAGCGTACATCATAAGACTAGGAATTGAAAGCATTGATTCAAAGATGCAACTTCCCGCTTTTAGACTAACGTAATCTCTCGATTAAGGATACCCACCCATTAACTTGGCCTGCCTCGTTTCAGAACACTAACTAAAGGCCGTTCAATAAGCTTGTTGGCCGCCTGAAAAGATTGGCGCAATAGCCCCGCAAATTAGTTTGGTCAACCTTTCTCGGGACCAATTCTTTTTGAGTAACTTTAACGTCACCTTCTGCCAATCAATGAACATCCTTTCTTCGATTAAGTCTGTTTTTCCTGCTTGTCCATTGTTGGCTCATGCCTTTGGCAGTTTGCCCATTCAGTGAAATTCATTGGATAGGACACTGGCCGCAGTGGTGGATACGCGCCGCAGCAACTGTCCAGGTGAAGTCTTGTTGCTGATCACCCATGTTGCAGCCTCCTCCTCACCCAGCTCTGTTTCTCCAACACCTCCGACGCATCTCGGTGGTTCCTGGACCCATCTCATGATAAGAACCTCACTGCTCTTCACCTGGTTGTATAAACACCTATCCAAGAAATGATGTTTCAAGCTCCCAAAAGCGGGCATAAACCCTCTTGTCGTTACCCCTCACATTCCATTTACATAGTCGCCCACGCGGGGGGAAAAGCAACTTCCCCACAGGCCCCTGTTGCCTTTTCAAACAGACTCATCCAAGTTCTTCCACCTTCCTTCCCTCTCCTTCCCCTTTCTGGAATCTT